TGGAAAAACTCCTGCTAGCTCAGGAAGAAACCCAAGCCAAAGCTTCAAATTTGGGCTAAAGCTGAGTCTAAAATTTGTCTGAATTTTCATGGGGATAGGTTTTGGACCATTTTTGGGCTTGCTGGGGAATCTGGTCACAGATGCTCCCAGCACTTTCCCCACTCCACTAATCATGTCCACACCAGGGAGTCCATGGTATTTGCCACTTTCTTGGAAGAACATCCCTTCAATCCAAGCCCTGCTCTGAGTCAAGCAAGATGGATCAACACTGACCAGGACCATATCCTGACCTTCCTGACAAGTAAAAAACTCTCCTGTGTCCAACCTTGGAACATCCCCTAAATCCCATTTCCAACCCATCCCCAAACCCATTTTGCATTCAAAGCCCAGGCAGGGCAGGAATCACGTGCAGGTCCTACCTTGTTCCGTTCACATGTAACAGCCATGAATCCCTCTGTAATAACGAGTTTAATTAAACACAGCCCGGCCACAAAGCCTGGCCTGACATTTAACTGGCACCTGAGAAGATGCTAACGAGAAAGACGTTAATTATCCCGCTTATTAGATGTCCACATTATTAACATAACCCTGACGGAATTAACTTGATACAAACTATCCCACAAATATTAATTGCCTCAAATTTCCTCGTAACTCGGAGGTATTAATAAGGCAGTAATTATGTATGGATTGGAGAGCTGGAAGTTAATGACGTGGCAATTTGATTTGTCTCAGAGAAACACGATAAACCCAAGGAAGTGTTCTCCGAACAATCAATGGATATTTAATTAACGGACAGCACCTGTCGGCGTAAATCGGAATTAAACGCTCGCGACGTCTCGTTCCAAGTGTTATGACAAAGGTTCCCAAGATGTGGCAGCATGGAAGGGGTCTCTCCTGTGCTGATGCTGATGACGACAGCACCTCCAGTCTCCACTCCATCCAATGCATGAGGTCATGGATGTGTTCCTCATAAAATTGTTGGAATGGCTTGGGTTGGAATGGACCTGAAGGGTCATCTTGTTCCAACCACATTGCGATGGGCAGGGATGACTTCCACTAGGTCAGGTTGCTCCAATCTCATCCAACCTGGCTTTGGACACTTCTGGGGATGGGGAATCCACAGCCTCTCTGGGAAACCTCTTCTTCTTCCTCCCTGGTCCAAGGAATCCTTGGGCTGCACAGAGTTGATGAGAGGAGCACTACCATCTCCCTCTGCTATTTGTCCTCACTCCCATCTCCATCCAAAACCCAGATCCACAAACACATCCCCACCAGGTGCCCTTCAGCAATGGGCACTTGGGAAAAGGGTTAAAGTCTCAAAGATCCGAGGTTTTCCATTGCCAGAGGGCAGGGTTAGATGGGATATGGGGAAGACATTCTTCCCTGAGAGGGTAGGGAGACCCTGGCACAGATTGCCCAGAAAAGCTGTGTCTGTCCCCATCACTGGAAGTGTTCAAGGCCAGGTTGGACAGGGCTTGGAGCAACCTGGGACTGTGGAAGGCATCCCTGCCCACAGCAGGGGTTTGGAACTGGATGATCTTTAATTTCCTTCCCAACCCAAAACATTCCATGATTCTATGCCCAGACCCTTTTTTTTGGATGCACACACCACGGCCAAAGTGAAAACTCCAAATAAATCTCCATCCATCCTTCAAATCTGTCCTGAAGCCAGCAGGTTTTTCCTCCCACCCAGCTGATGGAAGTGGTTGTCCTCTCTCTCCTGTTGTGTTGCACCTTCATCGGGATGGGCTTCACACCTCTGGAAGTGGGCCCTGACTCTATGCTGAGGAAGATGATGGTCCAGTACCATCATTTCCATAAATTTCAACTCCTCCAGCAACCAGACAGGCAGGATGAGCCCCACGGGAGCAGGGAATGAGCCGGTACTTTGGCACAGCTCTCCCAGAAGGGGTTGGCAGCACATTCCCTTTGCATTCCCGGCCTCCTTCCCCCTCTCTTCCAGCTTCTCTTTGCTTCCCTTTATGTAAATGGAAAATAACAATTAGTTTATTTTTGCTTGTGCAAATTACAGCTCCCAGGGAGCTGCCAGCTGCCAGGGCTGTGCTGGAGCTGCGCTCCAACCTCGGCCTTTTCCATGAATAAATAACCTGGTGGGGGTGGGAAGATGCTCCCTCTGCTTTCTCTCCACTCTCATGCATGGAAAGGAAGGATTAGAGGGGGGTTAAAACCCAGGGAACCTTTGGGTTTTATGGTGTGGGTAATTAAACACTGAGTTGATGATTTAATTGGAAGCTTGGCAAGGAGGGATACAGAGTTTTGGGGATAGAGAAGGGAAGAAGGGCATTCCCAGGCATTGGGGATGGAGACTCCAAGGAAAGCTGCATTTCCCAGACAGCTGAGATAGCAAAGGGCATTGGCTGGCAGGATCTGATCACGTCTGGATCTGAGGACTGACACTGTCCTGGAGTGTTTCCCACTTGGCAGTGAGCTGTTCTCCCTGCACATACGTGGATGTTCATCCTGCATCCCACAGCTTGCATCCCATATCCCACCTGCTTTATCCCACCACCTGCACACACACAGAGGCAGTGATGGGTACGAGTTGGAATTCCTGGGATTTGGTGGTGTTGGATCCTCGATGGAGATTATCAAGTCAGGGAAGGGTGGGCTGGGCAGTGCCAGGCTCCTTCTTGATCCTCACAATCCAGAGTTTCCCTTTCCTCCTGGATCAAGGGGCAGTGACAACCAGCACACAGCCCGCTGCAGGGAGCATCCCATATCCCACATTCCGTATCCCAACTCCTACGCCCCCTATCCTGCATCCCAGTTCTCATATCCTATTTGTCATGTCCTTTATCCCGCATCCTGCATCCCACATCCAACATTCTCCATCCTAGCATCCTGTACCCTATGTCCCATCTGCATCTCACACCCAATGACACATCCTGTATCCTTGCATCCTGCATCCCATATCCTTCATCCCAATATCTGCATCCCACCCCCCACCTCCTGCATCTCACACCCAGTGTCCTGTATCCTCACACCTGACATCCCACATCCTAAATCCTGCATCCTCCATCCCACATCCTGCATCCCATATCCTGAATCCCCCTACCTCCAACCCACATCCAATGTCCTGTGTCCCTGTATCGCCTCCATCTCACATCTGCTGTCTTGTATCTGTGCATCCTGCATCCCACCTCCTGTATCCCATATCCCTCCTCCTGCATCCCACACCCATATTCTGGATCCAACTACCTGCATCCCAATTCCCACAGCAGCAGCACCCCTGGGTGGAGCAAACCCACCCAAATCCAAGGAATTTGGGACAAAATCCCAGCTGTGATGCTGTACATGTTATGCAGGGGGGGTTTCCATGTCCTGGATTTCAGGATGGACTTCACTTCCTGCTGAGTTTAGGAATGACAGCAGTGGAACTGGGATGCTCTGGCTGGGGGAAGACAGAGAGCTGGAAAAAATTCCAGCCTTCAGGATGAGCCATGCAGTGCCAAAGCCATGACCCCATGGCAGAGCTCTGTTCTACCACCATGATAAAATAAATTTATTTTATATAAATATATTTTTATATAACAGGGGCAGGGTGGTGTTTGTGTTCCAGGGATGCAGGAATATTGCAGAGGCAGGCAGACACAGAGCATGGAAAGAAGGAAGTGTGCAAAAAATCCAACTCTGGAGCCAGAATATAAAGGTCCACTCGAGCCAAAAAATTCCAGCTCCAAACCGAGCCCAGGCTGTGCTCACTGTGGCTCAGCCCTGAGCTCGGAGCCAAATCCAAGATTTTTTTTTTTTCTGTCCAGGATTAATTTGGCCAAGATTAGAATTAATTCCTGCTTTTTAAGTGAACATTACCCCAGATTCCTCCATGCCCAGCAGCCCAACCTGCTTCCACCCCAGGACTGAATTCCAGGACTGGAGTTCTCACCTCACAGAGATGTCAGGATTTGTGGAGATGTCAGTATTTGTGTGAACACTGGAGCAGTTTTAGGACAAACCTGTGGGGTGGGAGCATCAATAACTGAGGAAGAAGGAGTGAAGGACACTTTGGAGCTGCTGGATTGATCATCTTCTTGTGGTTTTCTGCCCGATCCCAGTGATCCTGGTAATTCCTGCTTGGAGGTGGCACGGAACACCCTGCACCTCTTCAAGGGGACTTCGCCAGGGGCTGTGCCCAATCCCAAGCATCCATGGATAAGGTGTTCCAGGGTACTGCTGTGTTTGGGGGTGAGCACCCCCCAAAATCACCCCTCTGCCCCATGGAAAACCCACGGGCTGGGAAGCTGGAGGAATTCCAGCCATTTCCCAGCTCAGCGATGCCCACTGAGCAGGCAAGAAAAGCTTAGAAATGGGATTAAGGAGCTCTGCAAGAGGGGGACATGAAGAGGACCCCCAAGTCCCCATGTCAAGCAAGAGGGCTTGTCCCCATCCCAAGTGTCAGGCAGCCCTTGGAGCATCCTTTTGGATTGGGCTGCTGTTTCCACCCTTGGAAAAGGCTGAGGATGGAGCTGAGGACGCAGGAGATGCCCAGGATGAGCGGCGGGACCGCAGATCCTCACAGGAGGGAACAGTGTGGTGTCCTGAGGTCCTGCTGCAACCCCAAAAAAGCAGCAGGAAAATGGAGAAGGAGGCTCCAGCACCGCTCAGGGATCAGGAAAAATGAGGGAAAAGCTTTGAAACCAGGTCAGAGTGACCCCAAGTGCCACACGTCCTCCTGCAGCAGACGTGGTGGCACCTGCGGATGTCCGCAGCCCTGCGGCACATGGGTGACACATGACCCCATCCCGCCACATCCCCATCCCAAAACATGTGCCAACACACTTGGAATGCACACACATGATCCTGCAAATATTGCAGCCATCCCCCAAAAAAGCTGCAGACCCAAACAGGGATAGCCCAGATACCACCCAGATATCCCCCAGAGCCCAGGGTGCAGAGGAGGCTCAGCCCCAAAAAGGAGACGAGTCATAAACCAGCCCAATCTAGGCTTAAACCACTTTAGGTTTTATTATTTATTCAGCAAAGCCAAATCCCAGAAAGCCGGGAGCTTCAGGAGCATGGAGAAGGTCAGGATGATGGGGCAGAAGGGTGCGATTCCACCCTCAAATCTCCCCAAAAAACTGTGGGGTGGGATCCCCCATGGAGAACCAACATTAATGGGTGGCAGCAACACCCTGTGTCCTGTTCCACCTGTTAGGGGATTTCAAGGAGGGTTGGGGGAAAAAAAAATCAGTGGGGACCTAAAAAAATAAATCACGGTGGCGCACGGAATTGGGGATCCCTTCGGGATAAAGAGGAAGGGATGATACCTGGACTGCCAAAATAATCTGGGATCTTTCCCAGGTCGTTGGACCCCAAAATAAAACCAAAAGGAGAGGGCAAGGGGAAAATTGGGAATCCGAAATTGCTGCCTTTGCTCGGCCATAGAAGCGGGGAAAGGATTCCGGAGCAGGAGACGATCGCGGTCACCTCACGGACAACACGCTGTGTCCTGAGCAACACCCCATGGGACAGCGCTCCCACAAAACCCCACACAGATCCCAAAGTCAGCTCTGCTTTCCCAACCAGCCCCAGCCCAGCTGGGAAAAGGGGCAATGACCCCCAGGATGTGCCCACAGGGAATGGGGATCACGGAAAGATCCAGGAGTGAGGATTTAAGACAGCGGGGACTGAGATCCCCCAGCCTGGTTTGGGGAAGGTACCAGCCCCAAATTCCTTTTCCTCCCCAAATTCTTATTTGATCATGACCAGGCAGCTGGATGTGTTCTTCCCCCAGAAATATATGCCAAGAGAAAGGGATATTGGGAGGAAAATTAGGGAATAACCCACCAGGAAGCTGTGATTCACCTCCAAAAAATTCGGGGACGCGATGTCCCGCGAGCGGCTGCACGGATTAATTTTATTTAGAGCCAGGTTTTCAAAGTTTCCCTGGATCTAAATAAATACAGGAATAAGGGGTGAATCCCCCACCTTCCAAACCCCCCTTTTGTCCAGCCCTGGGACAAATATCCCTCTTTGCATTCCAGCTCCCATCCCAAAATCCAAGTCTGATATTGAGCCAAGCTCAGGCTGCTCAAAAATCCTCTGGTCACAAAAGAAGACACCAAAAAGCCAGAAAAAGATGAAGAAAAAGGGGATTGAGGTTTGGGGGTGCAGAAAAGGCAAGACCAGAGGGTTGTGGAGTTGCAGGCACCCCACAAATCCAAGGAAAAGCCAGGGGGTTACATGAGCATGGAGAAGATTTATGGAAGCGGCAGGAGGGAATACGCCACAGCTTGGGGACCTGCCACGGTTGAGCCTGGGCAAAAATATAGGACAGAAAATACACCTAAATATTTAAAAAGCACATAAAATGCCAAAAAAATACGTTGTACCAAGGGTTGTGCTGGAATTTGTCCCGTTGAGTCCGGGAAAAGATGCAGCCGCGCTTGGGGTTTGCGGCAAAGGGAGAAATATCCTTAAAAACAGTCCCAAAAACCCACAAAATCTCAGTAAAATACCAGCCCAAAAGCTTGGATTAGGGAAGGTGTGGGCTTGGTTTGTTAAGGGGTCCTTTTTAAATTAAAAATTCAAGAGGGAGAAGCCAAAAGAGGAAAGAAAAATAATTTATTACCATTGAAAATCAAGCCAGCGGCTCATCAGGACGGTGTCGGACAAGCTGGAACCAAACTGGACCCGGTGACTTTCCAGCAGCTGCAGGGATGAAGGTCTCCAGGACCCTCCAGCCGGGAAAGAAAATCAAAACCACCCAGAACCCGGCTGAAAAAAAAAACAAAACAAAACAAAAAAAAAGGCAGGAAAAGTGAAAAGCCAGAGTTCAATGAGGCAGAGGCGACGCTCAACACCGGACTTATCTCAGCGGGAGCTTGGGGAAGGTTTTGCATCAGCACCGGGAATCAAAGGGATAATAAACAACCCCCAAACAAAACCCCGATGCTACGCGACCCCCCCAAAAGTTGAGAGAAAACCCGACCCAGGCTCTAGTTGAATATAAGTTTTTATCTTGATGCAACATCATTAAAACCGTCACAAATCGAAACAACAGGTCGTTAAAAACGCTTCGCACGATCAGTCCCTAAAATGCACCAGGCTCCCAAGCTCGCTTTGCCCGCAGGACCCTTTTGTTTCCCTCCCACCCACCAAAATTTGGTTTTTTTAAATTTTTTTCTTCTTTTTTAAATAAGCAACTCGTTTAAAAAAAAAACAAACAAACAAACCCGTCCCGCTCCTCCGCGCAGGATCGGTCCCGCTTTCGCTCCAACGATTGCACGAATTCTTAATCCTTTTTTTTCCTCTTGTTTCCACAACAAATAATGTGCATTTTCTTGACGTCTGTTTTTTTTTTCTTTTTCTCCAAACATCGAGGTTAAAATAAGATTTTCCGTTTCCCGAGGGTTAATAAATAAATCTGGTGCATAGTGAGATAGCAGCCAACCGTTTGCAGTCCATATATTACTATATTGCCTTTCAGGTCACCCTAAAATTGTTACCTCTTCCCCTCCCGCCCCTCCCCACTATTTTTAAGAGCATAGATAATTTTAAATCTCTATAAAACAGTATTATTTCACCCAATCGATTCCTGTATATAGTGCATTCGGCTTCTTCCCAACATCGTTAAATTAACTCGGATATTATTTGCATGCTATTACATACAAACTTTTAAGACTCGTGTAATTTTTTTTCTCTTTTCTAAAGGATTTTAGGGTTTTTTTGTTGGTTTTTCTTTTTTTTGTTCGTTTTCTTTTTCTCGTAAATTACCAAGCAAGATATAGGCTCAAGGAAAAAAAAAAAAAAGGCAAAAAACGAACTAATTTTCTACATATTTACAAGAGTGAATAAGTTAAATGTGGCTCAGGTTTGCCGGCCGGGAATGGGGGGTGGGCGGAGGGGCCGGGCAGGGCGCAGCGCTGCCGGGGACCCCCCCGGCCGATCCGTGGGGATCCCTCGAAGAATAAAAATCCCAATGGAGGGGAAAACCCGCAGGAAAAGGTGGGGAGAAGCCACCTGGATGGCGCTCCCGGGAAGGGGGGCGGGTGGCCGTACACGTCCCGCATGCAGGGCTGCCCCCCACTCCCCCACCCCGGGACCCCCCACCCCGAGTCCCGATGGGTGGGAGGTAGGGAGTTCAACTTCCCCTCCACTAAATTTCAGTGGGGACTTCATAATATTTTTTCCCCATTTTTTTTTCTTTTTAAATATAAGCGGCGGGTTTGCTCTCCCCGGCTGAGGAAAAAAAAAAAAAAAAAAAAAAAGGGGATCCCACCCCATCCCACCAGCCCGGCTCACATGAAGAAGTCAGCGGTGGCTTTCGGGGCGGCAGATGGGGAGGGCTCCCTCGGGAAGCCCCGGCCGGCCAACTTCTCATATTTTTCTTTGTACAGATCCCTTTCCTTGGCCAAGCGGGTCACCTCCTGCTTGAGCTGCTCCACCTGGCTCTGCAGTTGGCATTTCTCGTTCTCCAGGATGTGCCGTTGCTGGACCCGCTTGTAGCGGCAGGATTGAGCGTAGCCCCGGTTCTTCAAGGTCCTCCTCTTCTGCTTGAGGCGGATCACCTCCTCCTTGCTGAAGCCCCGCAGCTGCCGGTTCAGCTCCCGCACGGACATACTCACCAGCTGATCGTCGGAGAACCGGTCCTCCAGGCGTAGGTGGTGATGATGATGATGGTGATGGCCGGGATGGTGATGGGCGGCCGGCGGCAGCTCCTCGCCCCCGAAGGGCTGAGGTCGGAAGGGCTCGTACCCTTGGTGGTGATGATGATGATGGTGAGGGGCACCGATCAACGCCTCCACCGCGTCCTCCGGCGTCAGGTTGAGAGCTTCGGGGTTGAGGTGATGCTGGTAACCCGACATCCAGTACAGCTCCTCCAGCTGCTGTTTGGAGCCCAGGGAAGCGGCGGTGGCAGCCGGGGGGCCGGGGGCCGGTTGCCCACCGGGGCTGGGAGCGCAGAAGCTGGGCGAGGAAGGCACGGAGGAGCAGGGCGTGCTGAGCGGGGTGGACGACAGGGAGCCGGCGGGCAGGCGGTGGCACAGCCGCTCCGCCTCCGCCGGCTCCTTCTTCACCTCGAACTTCATCAGGTCGAAATCGTTCACGTACTCGATGGCGAGGGGGCTCGTGGGCAGCTCCGCGCTCATGGCCAGCTCCGAGGCCATCTCAGTCCATGGAGGGACCGGGGGGGGAAGCCCCCGGGCACCGCCGCTCACCGAGGGTCCCGCGGGCTCCGAGAGCCTCCTCCGAGCGGGCTCCGGCGCAAGCGGCTGCCCAGACCGGGCTCCGGGACCCTCGGATGGGGCTTTGCCGTGGGGTTCAGTGGGGCTCCGGGACCCTCGGATGGGGCTCCGGGACCTTCGGATGGGGCTTTGCCGTGGGGTTCAGCGGGGCTCCGGGACCCTCGGACGGGGAATCTGCTGCCGGGCACCGGGATCCTCCGGCGGGGCTCAGCCGGGCTCCGGGAATTCCCGACGGGACTTTGCAGTGGGATTCAGCCGGGCTCCGGGACCTTCTGACAGAGCTCTGCGGTGGCGTTCAGTCGGGCTCCGGGACGCTCCTCCGACCGGGATCCGCTGCGGGGCTCAGCCGCGCTCCGGGACTCTCCAATGGGACTCTCCGATGGGACTCTGCGGGGAGGCTCAGCGGCGTCCGAGATGGGGCTCTGCTGCGGGGCTCAGCCGGGCTCCGGTACCCTCCAGCGGGGCTCTGCTGCGGGGCTCAGCCGGGCTCCGGTACCCTCCAGCGGGGCTCTGCTGCGGGGCTCAGCCGGGCTCCGGTGCTCGCCTCCGACGGGACTTTGCACTGCGGTTCAGCCGGGCTCCGACACAGGGCTCCGGGACCCCCAGCCGGGGCTCCTCTGAGTGCTGCGGGGCAGCCACCTCTCTCCGTCGGGGCTCGGCTCCGCTGCTGGGCTGCGGGACCCTCCTCCGACCGCCACGGCTCTGCGCTCGGGCCGGGCGGGCTCCGCCGCTGCCTGCGGCCGGTTCCCAATGGCGAGGAGCGGGCAGCGCCCTGCCCGCCCCTTCCTGCCTCCCCTGGCACCTGCCCCGGCCCCACCTCCCCGGGCTCCGAGCCTTCTCCTGCCTCCTCCTCCTCCCGCCGGGACACGGCGCCCTGGGGGCGGGGGCCGCTCCCCTGCCCGCCCCTGCCCGCGACCGGCGCCGCCGCCGCCGGGAGCTCAATGGAACTCGCCGCCTTTTATACGGGGAAAACGAGGCACGGCCCCGCCTACTGAGGCGAGGCTAAGCTCTTCCAGCCTATCAGCACCCCGAGAGCCCGCTTGGATTTTCATATCCCCATGGCAACGCCCCCGGGGCAGCTGTCAATCTCAGGAGGGGGGGAATGCTCCCGGTACCCCCTGGACCCTCTCGGCTCTCGCATCCCGATGTGGGGCTTCATCTCCCACCCTCCGTCCCGAACTGAGTGTAGAGTGGAGAGAAACATCCTAGAAATCCTGATTTCCTACTCCCCAAAAAGGGGAAATATCCTAAAAGGAGTTACTGAGCCTAAATCAGGTTTGGTGCCACATCGCTGAGGGACCACAGCATCCGAATGCAGCCCCTTCCCCACCTCAGGAACAGCCCTGGATCCTTCTCGGAGCACTTCCATCCTTGCAGAAAGTCAAATAAATATAATTTGGGGGATTTTTCGGGATTTTCCATAAACTACTGGTGGTCAGGCTGCAGCCACATGCACCTCTGTCCCCCAGTGCTGCCTCTGGTTTTGGAGGTGGCATCGCACCTGGCACAGGTGGCAGCCACACGTGACACATGAATGGGAGTGCCACCAGATGGAGGACCAGGATTGCCATCCCAGCACCTGGAAAAGGTGTCACTGGCACCCAGAGGCAGCAGGTCAGGGGGTTTTTGGGGTGCTCATGCCACCCCTGGATGAGGCCCTGCTTGGGATGTGGCCCTGCTGCTCCATCTGCAACATCATGCTGCTGCAGCCTGGGAGGAACAGGACTGGGAAACTGAGGCACGGGGCAGTTGCCATGGAGTGGTCCCACCTAATCCCAAGGGATGAGCAGGTGCAACACATAGAGGCTGGCAACACCCACCCACTCATCTTCTGGGGGTCCAGGATTGTCTCTGTCATCTGCAGGATGCATCCTGGGTTCCACTGCATCCCAACCCGGCTGCATCCCATCCTACTGCATCCCACATCCCTCGGGATGTGGGGGGTGACATTCCCCTCATCCAGCCAATGGCTGCTTGGGGACCTGGGCACAGGGGACACTGCTCTCCATGGCTGCTAACCGACCCTTTGGATATAGGGTCAAATTAATGCAAAAAAGGCGGGTTTTGAGGATTAAAACATTTATCCTGCTGCAACTCCAGCAATTAAAATCCCACGTCATTGCCTATGGTGGATCCAGCCTCTGGGGAGGGTCCATCTTTCTGCTGCTAATTGGGTCAAGGCAGGGGGGGAATTTATTCCCCTTGGGAAGGGTCATGGATGCAGGCAAAGCCCTAAACATGACCCCCATTCCCTGGTGATCCTGGATGTTATCCCATCCTGGACACGGATTTCCCACTTTGGAGTCCCCAAACTTGGGCATGACTTAAGGGAGGGGGCAAAGAAGCGGACAACAAAAAAACCTTTTTTGTGAGGTAGTTCCAACTCTTTTTCTTCATTGTGTCGCCCTAAATCCATCATCATCCCACCAGTGTAGTGGGATACCTGGATCCTGCACTGGGAAAAGATGGGGTGCCACCTCCTTTCCCCTGGCACCACATTCCTCCCCAGAGCTGCTCCACCCTGGGGGCACCTGGCCCCCACCAGCAGCTGCTACCCACGCTGGGACAGGAGCCACCAAGGGATTAGGAGTGGGCTGGGCTCCAATGGGGCCGTGGCTCCCCAGCGACACCCCCGGGGTATTTTTAGGAAATGCCCATGGCATGTCCCCAACCCTCCCCACCACGCCAGGCCCGTCAGCTAAGTTTACTCACAGGCGGTCAAGTGACATAACCAGGTTGGTGGCCCTCGGGATGGTGGCAGGATGGCGTCACCTTTCACTTTTAGAGCTCTCGTGTGCCCTATCACCCCTTGGAGCAGGGCCGGGTGCCCACCTGGGGCTGCCTCAGTTTCCCTGGACGGCACACAGCTCCCAGTTGGGGTGTCGTTTGCTTGGGGACAGTGACTTCACCCCATGGGAGGGTGGTGTCCACCACGATGCATCCCACAGAGAGAGGGTGGGACCATCTTGGTGATGCTGCCCCACAACCCAGCGTTGCTGCAAGGTCAGGAATTTTGGGGCGGAAGGGGGAAATCACATGGAGAAGCTGGGAGGACGATGAAGATGAGGATGAGGCTGAGGAGGAGAAGGTGGAGGAGGAGGAGGGCAGGGAACAGCCACCCTGATGACAGGCAGAAAACTGATCCCGGCGGGTGACGTTCACCCGGCACCTGCTTCCCCGGCAGGGGACCAAGAGCGGTGCCAGCAGCAGCCGCCGCAGGAAGGGTTTTCCGGGAAATGTTTATGGAGTCCTCCAGACACTCCACCCTGTGCCAACCTCCCAGTCACGGCACCCCCCAGGGAATGTCCTTGGCGGGTCCCCGAGCACCAAGAGCGCACCCCCCAGCTTCACAGCGAGGTGGGATAAATCCCGCTGGAACCCACAGCGGAGGAATTGAGGATGTTGGAGACAGAGGGGGAACCCACTGGAGTTCAGTGACACCTCTCCAGGGGCCGCGTTTATCCCTGCTTGGAAATTAATCACCCCCAAGCAGAGCTTTAATGACAGCCGGCTGGAAATTCCAATCCTCCCCGGGAAGGGAGCAGCGGTGCCGGTGGGCGGCGGAGCTGCGGCTCGGAGAGGAGCTGCTCATTGCCTCGTTTAATTAATGCAGCACAAGGATTATCCTCGTTAGGGATCCAGGGAAAACCAAAGCTCCCGGCCACCACCACTGGGCACCCCTGAGGATTCACAACAGCACCGTCTCCTCCAGGGTGGTTTTTAGGGAATTTAGTTGGGGTTTTTTTTAGGATACCACCATTTGAAGAATCATTGTTTCTGGGTGAAAAGTTTTAATAATTAAAAAAACCCAAGGATTTAGGGATCAGAGTGACTCCTCCACTGGATTTGGATGGATATTTGATGGGATATTCATGCACTGCTGGAAAAAAGAGGAAAGCCACAGGGAGGATTCTCCATCCCAGGGGAGGAAACTTTTATTTACATATCAAAACACAGGAGTTAACAAAAGACATTTTCATATCAACGAAAACCACGACGTTTTTATTAAAAATCAACTCGTTGGACACACCCTGGAGCACAAGTGACATCCCAGGGTGAGGATCTGCTGGTCCTCCAGTGCCTGGGGGATGTTGTGGATTTGGGATGGTGACAAAACCCCTCCATGGGGGTCACGTGCTGAAGGGAACCCTGCTGTGGGGATATGTCTGGGGGGTGAAGCCACCATCCTTTGGCATTCCCTACCCCATCTCTGATCACACCTGGATCCTGCATCCCCAGGGAGCCCCAGTTCTTCCCAAATCCCTCTGATGCCTTTTCCCACAGGATTTTCCCTGAGGGGCTGTGGATGAGCAAATCTCACAAATCGCATCTCTGTGGGGGAACAGCACCTGCCACCCCAAAATTCCCTTGGAAATTTTACCTATGGATGCAAAACCCCATGGTTCCAGTGTTCCTTCACTCTGTTCCTACTTGGATTTGGAGAGTCCCCAAAAACCCCCAAACCCTGGAGAGTTGGCTTGGCATTCCCAGTGGAGCCCAGACCCCTGCTGGGATAGGGAGCGGTGGGGGTCGGGTGCAACTGGGCCATGGGAGATCCCGAAATGCAGATTGTGATCTCCCACTCCCAACACATTTCCATGAGGGCTGCTCTCAGCTCCAGGAAATCTCCTCCCAAAAGCAAGGGGATGGAGCAGGATGGGCTCTTGGAATGGTGGGATCAGGGCTGTGGGGGCTTTACACCCATTACATCCCAGCACAGTGACTTGTCCGTAATAATCTGGATGTGGGAATGTCACCGGATGGCATTAAACCACCTCAGGTCTCCCTATCACCTTGTGGCTGGGACAGCACCGGAGGATGGATGGAGATGAGAAGCTCTTCCCAGCCCCACAAGCATCCAAGGAGGTGGCAGGACTTGCCGTCAACAACAGCTGAAAAGGTCATTTATTGGTCAATTCAAAGATTCCAA